AATAAAATATTAAATATCTTGTCATTATAATCTAGACTCTTTAAATCATGTGTAGGGCCTTATTTTTAAAAATCTAATTATAATGAACATTTAATATTTTTATTTTCATGAGACAACCATTCTTGTAATTTTTAGACTCTTTAAATCATGCGTGGGGTCTTATTTTTGAAGATCTAATTACAATGGTTATAATAATGAAAGTCATGGGGTAATCTATAAAAAATTTCGCTCCCAATCAATTTTTAATTATTCATAATTAGGGTTTTTAATTTATTTACATACATTATATGATGCATGCAAAACGCCTTGATTTTAATCCAATTAAATTTAGAAAATATTTGAACTTAAATGATACACTAATATTTAATTTGAGGCACACCTTTTAAAAAATAATAATAATAATTTTTCATTTTCCCTTAAGTACCCTCTAATTAATTAGTAATCAAATCCAATTAATTTTCATAATTTAATTAATATAAATTAAGTCATTTAAATAAATATCATGGATCTAATGTATGAATAATAATAATTAATAATTATCTATTCCATGCATTTTATACATCACATAAATAAATAAATGACAGGCAAAATATAAATAAATGAAATGGCCAATAGACTTAGCTTTTAACATTAAAAATTAAATAATTATTAAGTGTTATAATTATTGCACCCCATTAAACTCCCACTATCTTTAAATAATGGAGAATAATGTTAAAATTCACTTTGGGGTAATAATTCACTCTTTAACAAGTGAAAACAGCACAAAATAATCATTAAAAACAAGCCTGGAGGTCCACCGTTAGAACCTATGCACCTGCAGGAGCCAAAACACTGTCCCAGCTGGTCCCACGCGCCCACACGCTTGTCCAATGCGCCCCAATACTCTTGCACGCGCCTGCACGAGCCAAGGGAGAGTAGCAGCGCGTGGCACGCGCCATGTGGCGCTGACCTAGCCTTGGCACGTGGTCTTCACGCGCCATGATACTGCGGCCCATGATTGCATCGCATGTGCGTCGCATGTGATCCTTCCACCTAATAAGATGCAATCCAAGGGCTCCTGATGCGGTTGCACCATATGATGGTGTACCGCGAAGCACTGGATTAACCGTCCTCCCTTCCGGCGTCTCCCTTACAGCCAGCTAAGCTCCGGTCGCCGGAAAACCCTAGAAAATTATTAAAAAAATTTAAAAAAATTTTGGAAAACTAAATTAAGCCCAAAAAATTCCAAAAAAATTCTAGAAAAATTCCAGAAAATTCCTGAAGCCTAATTTAACCCTTTTGGACCTTTTTGAAGCTTTATAACATCTTTTGATGAAAATTACATGGCCTAAAAAATATTTACACTTGAAATACAATGAAAAAAATTAAATTACATTATTGAACTTTCAAATGGCTAAATCAAAGCCTTAATTACATTCATCCAAAGATAAAATTACATTAAAGTAACCTATAAGCGTCATTCATGGCCCAAACATACATCATCCAATCACAAATATATATACATCATGATTATATATAAATATATACATATACATATAAAAAAGTTTGCATCCATGAATGATGATTTTCTTCAATAAAAAATATAAACTTTATACATTAATCAAATCCAGCTCTGATACCGCTGTTGGGGAAACGGAAGTTTTAAAAACTTTGAAGGTTTTTCAAATAAAGATCTTGATTCATGTGTAGATACAAATTTTATGCATGAAGAACATGATGATACATTCAATTTAGGGATAACAAACTTACATCAAGGTTTGAGTAAACCTTAAATCTCTCCTCTAAGGTGAATGTTCTCACTTATTGTAGATCCCTTTGCTAAATGCCTTCTCCTTGGATCTCCATATTCTTGGTAATGGTTTTGCTTTTAGGAATCACCCATAAGAGTCCATGAATGACTTTGAAAAATTAGGCTTGTGAGAGCCTCCATTAGATGATAACACTAACCCTAAAATTCTAAAGAGAGAAAATATATTCATTTTTCTTCCAAAAGTCACCCCTAAAATATATATGGACCATGTATATATAGGCAACATAAAGATAAGGAAAGAAAACAATAAATCATTCTCAATCTCTAATTCACATATCTCAAATCTAATAGGATTCCAATATCAAGTTGGGCTTTGAGTGAGAATCCTTTGGGCTTATTATTTTCTTGGCTACAATGAATTAATAATTGGCTCGATCCATGGACCCAATTTAATTAATTCATAAATTAATTTCTACTCCACTAAAAGAAATTAATTGAACTCCAATTAAATAATAAATAACCTCTAAGTCAATGTTGCACTTTGACCCCTCTATGCATAATTAGTTATCGGATAAATAAAGCCATCAATCCGACTACTTAATTAATATATTTATTTTGGCACCTTTGATTATTTCCGACTTGATCACAATAAAACATTTGTTTGACAAAAATAATAATTTAAATAAATATATAATAAATCATTTTATCTAAAAATACACGAAGGCCTTCGAATTTACTTTATGATCAACCATAATCAATACAAAATAAATACAAGTAAAAATAATGCAAATATTGAAAATATAACCCTCTAACTATTAATTACATAATTATCCAAAGTGCCGATCTAAAGATTCCAAAGATTCCGCCGAACAAATCATAGTAATTACTAATTAATAAAAGGGTCTATACTTCTCTCATACTTAAGTGTCAAATGCCATGACAGTGATAGGGAGCAATTGCATACGACGATTCTCGCAATATATCTCAACTTATCGCGGATCTAGTTTAAATCTTAGTTAATAATGAGTCCATCCATAATTACCGACTATGGACAATTTATGATTACCATTTATATTCATGTATTGATCGCCATCACATGCATATATAAATATCTCTTGTAATCAAGTGGACATTATCAATTCCATAATGAATCGCAACATAATACATTGAATTCACCAATTATATAAATCATAAATAATTCAGATATGTCAGGAACATATGTCACTATAATCCAAATGAAAATTTGTTATGCCAGGGCATACAAATGCCAACACTCAAACCTAGTAGCTAGTTTATGGATTTCAAAATATTTTTCCCTTCATCTAAAGGTTGTTAAGTATATTATCTTCATCATTTGACATAGTCGAATTATCCCATGTTGTTAAGTTATGCACAAACACTCTTACCCTTAGATTTGATCATCTCTTTTATTTCATTTCCAAGACAAAGGTGTTTGTTGAATTAATAGATACAAAACTTACATTTTTGGTTCAGGAAAGTGTAACTGATTCTACTTGAAAGTGCAACGGGTTGGACTTTTTTCTAGTACAATTTCTTTGTATGAAATTTAACTAATTCTAATGAGAAATGTTGGACTCTTGAAAACCTCTAAGTACTCTTATCCAACTTCATACATACTCTAAGTGATCCTCACACTCTTACTTGACTATATATTGTTCAATATTGAATCGAAAATCTTTATTTGAGCTTTTTGCTTCCGAAACCGAAATTTAATTATAAATAAAAAATTACAACTCAATTTAAATTTCGTTTTGATCATCAAAATATACCGATTACAATTTATATTTCAAAGAGACTATTAAGGAAGTACATGACTCACAACTGCACAAGGATTATAGGACTGATCCGTTTTGGTTTCAACTTGATTTGGCACAGCATTATTGTCGATCATGTCATGTGGTCCTAGGCCTGACTCCTAAACCCGTCAGATTTAATAAAAAGGTCATGCTACGGCAGGGAATGCCCAGACGAAAGACTCATCCCATATGCCTTGCTCCACGACACACATGGCATGCAATGGCATGTGGTCTGATTTGACTTTTAAAAAAATAGTAATTAAATAAATAAATATCATGTGGTCTGTTGAGTTGGTATGGAATATTCTTCTTGTCTAAGTGATTCACAATTTCTAAGGCTTTGTTTGGTACGGTGGGTTTGAAGGGGAAGGATAACATTAGTTATGAGGGAAAGGGAAGGGAAGGAAAAGGAAGGATAATTTTAAACCTCCATTGCGTTTGGTTGATTAATGAAGGAAAAGAAAGGGAAGGACAATAATTATGTTTGGGAAAAGAAAGGAAAAGAAATAGAAGGGAATTATTTTAACATATGGACTATTATACCCCTTTATATTTATATATATTATATATATATATATATATATATAGTTTCATGTACTTGCCAAAAAAAAATAATAATAATAAATAAATAAATAAATAAAAATTAGGGCAAATCATTTCAGCCTCCCTAATCCTCCATCTCTATTATATATATATATATATATATATATATATATAAAGTCTTTAACTTGAGGCCATAAGAAAAGAAAAATAAAAAAATAGGGCAAAGCCTCCCCAATCTCGCTCCATCTCTGCAACTCCTTCTCAACACTGAACTTGGCCTCTCTCTCTCTCTCTCTCTCTCTCTCTCTCTACAAGAATCAGAAATTCAAAACCCATATATTTCCAGTTTGTCTATCTGTTTGCAAGAATCAAAAGTCCCGTATCGATGTATCATTTCAGATTGTTCAGAAAATCCAAAACCCATATCCTTCAGTTTCCATGGCTGCTGTTCCAGTTCGGGTCGCCGTTCCAAGCTTCAATCACCGGCGGTCTCTCTCTCTCTATGCAATCTTGAAGGTAAAATTGGCATCTGAAATCACCCATCAAGCCTCTCCTTCCCTTTCCCTTCATTTCCTCCCATTTTTGGGAGGTTAAGAAATCTACTGTTGAAGGCACAAGCTAACCCTCCAAACCCTTCCCTTCACTTCCCTTTCCTTCCAACAATTTTTGCCAAACACACATTTTTAATCCCCCTTCATCACCTTCCCTTCCCTTTCCTCCCTTTTCTACTCTACCAAACTGACCCTAAGACTATCTTTGAGACGGAAATAGTACATTTCTAGATGGATGGATTGATTTTCTAGCTCTAGGCTCGAATTCCTTCTCTCCTCTCCTCTTAAAAGATGGAGACAAGCCTTTTGATGATCTATTACAATTAAACAAGACAACGATTCTTTAAATGAAAATTTTCTACCATCAAATAAGTTTTCACTCATTTGATTTATTAAACACGTAATTACACTTGTGCAGTCAGGAGTGACATTGCAATTATTTTTAACCGACTACCCACCAATTTGAACGCCGTCCCGGATGAGGTTGTGCTCGGGGATGAATGCGGAGTCTTGAACGCCGTCGACGACGAGGTCGTGCCCGGAGATGAATGCGGAGTCATCGGAGGCAAGGAACAACACAGCATCAGCTACGTGTTTCGCTTTCAGTACAGTCCCTTTCAAGCACGTTAAAGGCTCAAAAAGCTTCTCCATCTCCTCCTCCTCCTTCTGGTACGCCCTGCACATGAACGGCGTCGCCACCGCGTAGGGTGACACACTGTTCACCCTAATTCCGTGCTCCCCCAGCTGCCGGCTAGCTGACCGGACCAGCCCAATCACGGCGTGCTTAGACATGTAGTAATCCGTCCGCTTAGGCCCACCTTTACTACCCGCCACGCTCGCCGTGCACACGATGCTTCCCCTCACGCGCCGCTGCACCATTACACGCGCCGCCTGCTTCACGCAGGCAGCCATGCCGCGCACGTTCACGGCGAAGAGGCGGTCGAATTCGGAGAAGTCGAGATCGAGAAGCTTCTGATCGGAGGGACTGATGATGCCTGCGTTGCTGAACATGATGTCGAGCTGGCCGTGAATCTTGACCGTTGATTCCACCATGTCTTTGACTTGGTGTTCGTCTGCAACGTCGCAGTGGATGTAGCTGCAGTTTGGGCCGATGGACTCGGCTACACGCCGGCCTCGCTCGTCTTGGATATCGGCGATCACAACCGCACGAGCGCCCTGAGCAGCAAAAAGACGAGCCGTTTCCTCGCCGATGCCGCTCGCTCCGCCGGTAATTATGGCTACTTTGCCCTCTAGTTTATTCATAGACATTTCCGCCATGCAAACAAATGTAGCCTTCGTGTTTGGTATTTCTTTATTTATTTTATTTTTCTTAACACAAACAAACAACTAGAATTGTATTTTTCCTACCAAACATGTTTAGTTAATAAGATAAACTTTTGGAAAGGAGGTAATGACTAAAAGAAGATACATAGTTAATAGACAAACAGCATCTTATCGGTTGAACAAAGAGAAAGGTTGCACAACCACATGTTCAATAAACTAGGAAGCACGAAGACAAATGTACCATACGACATGAATGGCGTCAAATCTTAAAAAAATTGAACACAGACACGGAAGGATACTTTAATAAGGTAATGATATAATTTTATTATATATAAAAAATCAAATGTTCCTCAAACTCCCCTCTATCCATCAGCTATTTAAATAAAAGTCACTAGATATTTTATTTTATTTTTCAAATAAAATGCATAAGGGTCCAATTGCAATTTGATTAAAACACAAATAAATAAATAAAAGGCACATACAAGATTTGCACGTGTCCTAGAGATTGTCACCCCGTGTCGTTCGGCATGTCCGTTCTGAAAAGAAAAAAAAATATATCCAGCGCCTCACCTTTGCTAGGTGTGGGACACGGGTCCAACATAAGTACGACATACACTCTTGTCGTGTTAGTGCTTCCCTGGTATAAGCATCTCTCACCCTAAGGGTAGGTGGGGGATTCGAGCCTCTATTCAGGTATGAGCGAAAAGTAAAATCAAAACAAAGATATCGTTTTCTAAAGATTGTAACTACTTGTGTAGCGTCTCATTATCTTGCTTAGAAGCTGATGAGTTGAGTAGTTGTAAAAAGGTTGATCTCATATGAAATACCTAGATGGGGTAAATATGTCTAGCTTGCCCATTTGATTGATTGTTTAATAATTTTAATTATACCCAATTAAAACTAAATCAATTACACAAACCAATAAGTATAATATAGGAAAGTAAATATAGTTAGAGATGACACCAAAAAATTTTACGTGAAAATTAGAAGTTAATGAGATTGGCCGTTTCTAGGGAAACAATCCACTATTTCGAAACAAAGTTACAAAAACTCTGTCTCATTCTCGCATTCACTTCACTTTGTCCAGAACAAACTTGGTTCGAGTCTCACGCTAACTGCACTCTGCCAAGAACTAGTAGTTGAACACCTTAGTCTTACTCATGTGCTCAACTCCTCGTCCAGTTCTTGCAGATTTCACTCTTATTCCTCAAGCTAACTCCACTCTACCAATAACTAGTTGTTGAACACCTTAGGCTAACACGTGCTTGACTCCTGGTCCAGTTCTTGCATATTTCACTTCTACTCCTCAATTATTGAGAACAAGTTGCAAAAAGAATATGAATGTTCCGCTAACACTCTTCTTTTTTTCATAGTGATCGAATCACCGTCCTTGCAATCACAAAGATAAAGAAAACAATGTAGCTCTGATCAACCAAGATAAACTTTAGAAGCCCAGCACGCCATTAATGAGTAAAAGTTCAAATATCATCCTAGCTAATATCACTCTCGTGTGTGCCCTCAAATAAAGAAAAACAATGAATTTTCTCCCGAACACTCTCTTAAAAGCTTCGTATATGAAAAATAATGTCTTTCTAACTATTAGGCAAGAATCCCAAGTCATTACCGACTAGGGTACTTTTCTTTATCACCAAGATATTTAGATTCCTTTACAAGTCATATTTACTTCCTTCTTTGTAACAATCCCTTATTCAATGGGATTATATCACGAATAGCTTTACTTGTAAATCAAGTATTGATGTATATAAAAATACATGTTTAAAGAGATATAAACAATCATCGAATACAATTAAGAATTTGTTCACCTTTAAATCTTTCATTAAATCCGACATTAAATATATACCTACAACATGCCAAATCCCTCTCTCACACCCTCGCAACCACTAATGAAATAGTCTCCAATAATGACCTCGTTACTTTTATTCTCTATGGTCTCGGCTCTGAATATGATATGCTGAAAATTATTATTCTCCTTTTCCTAAATTTTCAGATCTTCGTGCTCATCTTCTCTATTTTGAATCTCGAATTGCATCACATCCCAGTTCTGAAAACACCATACCCACTTCTTTTATTTCCAACACCCATGGAGGCCGAAATTTTAATTCTCGTGGAGGACGTTCTGATTATTCCAACAATCACAACAATTGCACTTATGATAATACTCGTGGTGGATACGGGCGTGGCAATTTTGGTCGATACACTTACAGTTATGATAATAATTGTGGTGGATATGGGCGTCCTGATTTTGCTAGAAACAATCGAGGTCGCAACAATTATGGTCGTGGTGGTTATAGTTATGGCAATAACCATAATACGCATCTTGGGCAGCACCCTTCCTCCTGCACTTCTCAATTTAATGATGATCTCGCCTCTGCCTTTGCTGGAATGCAACTACTCAACCTGTGGATCCCAACTGGTATTCTAATACTTGCGCCACAAATCATATGACGAGTGACGCTCGTCACATCATTTATAGATCCAACTACGGTGGTAATGATCATGTTGTTTTAGGCAATGGTGATTCACTTCCTATTGCGCACTCTGGTAACCTTTCACTTCAATCTGGTTCTTCACATTTTCGTCTTTCTAACGTACTTTATGTTCCTTCGATGACCAAATATTTGTTGTTGATCAGTTGCTCAATTTACCCGTGATAATTCTGTTAGTTTTCTTTTTCTTTCGTGGGGATATATTATTCGTGATTTACGTATTGGTTCTGTCCTTTTTCTGGCCCATGTGAGCATGGTCTCTACCCTATTAAACAAGATTTGGCTTATCACCATTCTTTATCTACTTCTTGTGTTCCTTCTTCCCTATGGCATCATCATCTCAGACATCCATCGTCAAAGATTTTGCAATTTTTAAGTTCTAATAAAAGTCTAGGATCATCTTTTAATATTTATCGCATTAGTTTTTGTCAACATCGTGCATTAGGAAAGTTTACTAGATTTTCTTGTACTATTAATAAATCACATACTCCTGCACCATTTTCTTTAGTTCATTCGGATGTATGGATGTCTCCTATTACTTCTGTTTCTGGTTTCCGTTATTATTTGTTGTTTATAAATGACCTTACTCGTTACACATGGATTTTTTCTATGCATCATAAGTTAGATGTTTTCACTCACTTTACCTCATTTCTTGCGTTTATTGCAAATCAATTGTCGCTGTGTATAAAAAAATTTCAAAGTGATGGTGGAAAAGAATTTGATAACACAAACTTCCATACTTTGTATGTGCAAAAGGGAATTCGCCATAGACTTTCATGTCCTCACTCCCCATAACAAAATGGTGTTGCAGAGCGAAAACACCACCATATTTCAGAAATGGGTCTTACATTACTTTTTGCTTCGTACATGCCTTTTAATTTGTGGGTTGAAGCCATAGCTACTACAGTCTATCTTATTAATCGTTACCCACTTGGTTTTGCGTTGGTTGGTCATCACCTTATGAGGCTTTATTTGGTTCACCACTCAATTATGGTGAACTTCGTTCTTTTGCCTGTGCTTGTTATCCCTTTCTTGGTAAATATACTACTAACAAATTACAAGCTCATTTTTTTGAATGTGTATTTTTAGGCTACAGTACGCACCACAAGGGATATCGTTGTCTTGATTCTCACACTGGAAGACTATACGTACATTTCTAGACATGTGCAATTTGATGAGTCCAGATTTCCATATGCCACTGCACCACTAAGTGTGTTTTCTCCGTCCCAGCTTTCAGAGAATGACACTATCTTTGTTCTGGTTCTCTCTCCATAGTCATCCTCCACTTTGCTATCACCTACTACACCAAATACACTTTCTGCACTCATGGATCCAGCCCTAGACTCTGCCACATCACATACACCTACTTCTATTGATCCACCATCCTCTAATATGGTCTCTGTATCCCCTTCTCCAACTGAGCATTTATCGACTTTAGCTCTACCAACTATTTCTTAACATCCTGTGGTTACAAGGCTTCGTGATAGTACTCGAAAAGAAATTATTATTCACAGCATGGTCACCACTAAACACCCATTACTATAGGCATTTGCGTCTCTTCTCCACACTGCATACATTGAGCCCACACATTATACTAATGCAGCTTGCTTTCCTGAGTGGCATCAGGAAATGACTGATGAATTTAATGTTTTCTTAAAGAAAGGTACATGTTCTTTAGTCCCACCTTCTTCTCACACTCCTGTTGGTTGGTAATGTGTTTTTAAAATTAAATGCCACTTTGATGGTCGCATTGAGCGTTATAAAGCTCGCTTGGTTGCTAAAGGATTTCATCAACAACTTGGTCTCGATTATGATGAGATGTTTAGTCCAGTGGTTAAGCCTACGACAATTTTGAATAGTCTTGAGTATTGCTGTGAACTCTGGCTAGTCTATTCATTAACTAGACGTTAAAAATGATTTTCTTCATAGGTCACTCTCTGAAGAAGACTACATGTTTCAACCTCCTGATTTTGTTAATCCGACTCATCCTAATCATGTTTGTAAGTTACATAAAGCCATCTATGGTTTCAAACAAGCACCCCATGCCTGGTTCCAAGAAATTAGTTCGTTTCTCCTTGCTTATGGTTTCATTCAAAGTCAGGCAGATTCTTCAATGTTTATGTATCATAAATCTTATATGGTGATGATTATCTTATTATACATTGATGACATCATTTTAGCCGGCAACTCTCCACTTCTAATTTCTTCATTTCTGCGAAGGTTAGCCAAGGAGTTTGAAATCAAGGATCTTGGCCCTTTACATTATTTTTTGGTTGTTTAAGTATTGCGTCATCCTGATCATTTGCATCTATCGCAAACCCGATACACATTGGACTTACTTCATCGTAGTAATATCATTTATTGTAAACCATGCACTATGCCAATCTCTGCTCATATGCATATGTCTACTTCTGATAGGGCTTCTTTGTCGGATCCTTCTGAGTATTGTCATTTGGTTGGGGCATTACAATTTCTCAGCCTTACACGACCAGAAACTTCTTTCCCTATGAATCATGCAGCTCAGTTTATGTGTAAAGACCCGAACCCGAGAATTCGAATCGCTAACCGGGTCCTTACCCGAACCCGAGGTTGTCTAAGAGCACTATCGTCAATTCTAAGGTCGATACATAATATGTGTGCCATCCCAAGGCTTATAAAAA